TTACTCCGATGGAGGTTAGTCGCCCGCTAGAGACTCAGATTGAGAGGGTCTGGAGCAGTGTAGTCAAAATCGCGCTTTAAAGCGTAAAATCGTACGATTTTACGTTTCTAGGGTAGGAAAACGCTTCAAATCACTAATAAAATCGTATTTTACTCAAAATCAGTCAAAAGCGTTAGTAGAATCGTTAAAATCGTTAAAATCGGATAAAATCGCGCTTTCATACCGTATTTATCCGATTCCAAGCAAAGGAGAAAATTGTCTCCGCCAAACAAAAACGACGCCATTTTGATCACTTCGGACAAAAAAAAAAAAGGGTGAAAGGGGGTGGATATTAGGCTGAGGTTGCCAAACCACTCTTCCGCAATCCCTAATCCTCCATCTCCAGCACTCCAGCACACTCTGCGCCGCCGCGCAGCCGGCCTTCCAGTGAAGTATCCTCCATCTCTCAGCAACCGTCGTCGCCACCTTCCAGCGAAGCTCTAGCCCGTCGCACTCGATAGCTCCAACGCGGCAGCACCCGTCGCACTCATCGTCGCCTGTCGCCACTCGCTGGCACCACACCATGTTAGTTTCTGTCTCTATCTTGTCATACCCCGTCGCCACTTCACCTATGACTCATAAATGGTGGGTAAATGCTTCCCCTTCTCAACTCTTAGTCCACCCTGAACATATAACCTAGCAGGTATTTCTAGCTAAATTACAATTCACACATTCTCAATAATTTAAACCAACCCAGCAAAATGAAGGAAACTACTTATAATTTCCAATAGGCGTATAACCTACTGGTTTACCTAAGTATGCTACTGCTAAATTATGTATATGTGGTGTTTCTAATTGAACCTTTGAGAAACCAAGGGCAGAATGTGAAGCTAATGTTGTGAGAATTTGGTTATTAACTCGTTTGTGGGTTACCGTTTATGTTTATGAACTTATTGTTAAGATGTTATGAATTTGCTTTAATTTGGACATGAATTGCATGTATTTATTCACTTGTCTAAACTCCATGCACTCATATTTTTCATAATACATGTGGTACTTAACAGATTTTTAACTATTATACATGATGCATCAAAAACTTACGCTTTTACGCTTTGATTCGCCGCTTTTCGATTTTACCCCTTTTCCGCTTTTAGGTAGAATCGCGGTTTTGACTGCATTGGTCTGGAGACCTTTAGTCGAGACTTCAGGCTAATTAAGGACCTTCCGCAGTATAACTTTCATGAAAACTGAACTTGGTAAATTGCAATCCGACTTAACTGCAGTCTAGGAGGAACCATATCCGGGTGACCTCTCTTGACTTGACAACAACCGTTTACTTGCTTTGTGTTTTGTTTGCTTGAGTTGCACTAAAAGTTCACCGCTAAATAACAAGAATTCACCGAGTAGTCATCACATCTAGGACCCGGGTTGACAATAAAACCCAAACCCGCTATACTACGCTTTAGGAAGTGGTTGCACTTGGCCATTTTCTAGAGTGACAGTAGGAGTGAGTCAAGTTTTTGGCGCCGTTGCCGGGGACGGCTAGGTTATTGAAGAAAAGTGATTTCTATTACTTTAGAATTTTCATTTTCGCATTGAGTTTTTGTTTTTTCCCACTTGTGCCTTCACGGGTTTGCATTGCTTGATTGTGTGCAGATAGTGCATGACCCGTAGCCAGTTGGGAGGTTTACTGCCGTTGAATCCTGAGATTGAGCGCACCTGCAAACAACTTCGGAAACAATAGCGAGCTAGACTGGCTACGGTGGAGCGCAGAGACGGCCAATTGAGCAGCGACTCCGAGGACGAGTACGAGATGGAAGGCGATCAGAACCCACCTCCTCAGAACCAGATCCTAGGGAACGACCCAAACCCCCAGGGAGCTGGCCATCATCATCCACCACCACCGGGTCCCACCTTGGAGTACTACTATACTCCACGGATTGCTGACATCCGCCCGGTCATCCTCTATCCGCCCATTCCTGCAAATAACTTCGAGATCAAGCCATGCTGGATTCAACTCATCACATCCTCTATCCAGTTCCATGGCTTGAAGGACGAGGAAGCCCAGGTACATCTTTCCCGTTTCTGCAGCTGACGAACGGGTTCAAGCTGAACGGTGTCCCGGATGACGCAATCCGCCTTCACCTCTTCCCCCATTCTCTGGCGGGGAATGCTAAGAGGTGGTTGGAGACCCAGCCCCCATTGTCCATCACCTCTTGGGACGATCTGGCTGACAAGTTCGTGCACCGGTATTATCCGGCATCGAAGACCACGGAGATTCAGCGGGAGATCATTCACTTCCGCCAAGAGCCAGATGAGTCACTTCGTGATGCATGGGAGCGGTACATGGGATACTTCTGGCAGTGTCCCCATCATGGCTTCAGCGATGCTTTCACAGTAGGGAACTTCTACAGCGCCCTCACTCCAGACAGCCAGAGGGTGATTGAGTCTCTGTGCCCAGGAGGGGATATCCTTACTAAGACTCCACCCGAGCTGAACCTAATGATCAGGAGCTTGGCTGCCCGAGACCACTTCTGGGGGCAGAACAACAGAGGCAGGAACTCCCGGGACCGAGGTGTGCATGCTATGGAGGCAGGTCCGGGTTAGAGCAGCAGGTGGCTGAGTTGGTGCAGACATTGAAGCAGCCTAACAGTCTCCTTCCGGGCCGAGGTGTAGCTACGCCTCCAGTAGCTCAGTGTCAGTGGTGTGAGAGCCCGAATCACCTGGTGGAGGATTGTCAGTCTATGAGGGAGTCTTCTACTCCCCAAGAGCAGGTGGACTTCATAGCAAATGCTCGGCGCCTGGATCCTTACAGCAGTACCTATAACGAGGGATGGCGCCAGCATCCCAACTTTGCCTGGGGCAGCAACACCAACAAGCCACCTGGGTTTCCGGCACCAGCAGGTGGTTTTCAGCAGAGGCACCCTTCCAGGCTAGGCAGGGGCCACCACCACAGCAGCAGCCCTACCAGCCTAGGCAAGGGCAGCCATTCCAGCAGCCCCAGCGCCAGTTTGCTCAGCCTCCCGCAGCCGCAGCTCCAGATACTCAGATGTCTGATCTGAAGAATATTTTGCAGGCTTTCATGACCACCAGTCAGGCAAACTTCACAATGATGGATCAGAACATAGCCTCACTGGAGGCAGGCCAGAGGAACCAAGGTGCCATTATGCAAGATCTACAAAATCAGATTGGGAGCCTAGCTCGCCAGAACACTGCCAGGGCACCGGGGACTCTGCCTGCCACCACCATCCCCAATCCACGGGACCCGCATGAGACCGCACACGCCATCACCACCAGGAGTGGCAAGACTACATCTGCTGCTCCTGCCCAGCCCAGGCGAGACGACCCACTACCTGCTTCAACACCTCCAGCTGATACTGCAGAGGTGGGGGAAGGCAGCACAGCACCTGCTCCAAAGCCGCAACCTATGGTTAAGGAGCATACACCTCAGCTGCCCTTCCCCACTCGACTTCATAAAGACAAGCTGGAGACAGAGTTTGCCAAGTTCATGGCAATGTTGAAGCAGGTCAACATCAGCATGCCGTTCGTGGAGGCACTGTCGAAGATGCCCAAGTATGCCAAGTTCATGAAAGACCTCCTCACCAACAAGAAGAAACTTGGGGATCTTTCGACAGTGATGCTCAGCGAGGAGTGTTCTGCCATCCTGCAGAACAAGCTGCCAGAGAAGCGCAAAGACCCAGGGAGTTTCACTATCCCTCTTGTTATTGGCAGCATGCATGTAGGAAAGTCCTTGGCGGACCTAGGCGCTAGCATTAACGTCATGCCCTATAAATTGTTTAAGAAGCTAGACCTAGGTGAACCTAGAGCTACTAGGATGAGCATTCAGTTAGCTGATCGTTCTATCGTGCATCCTAGGGGTATCATTGAGGACTTGCTTGTTAATGTTGGTGCATTCACATATCCTGTTGATTTCGTTATTTTGGATATAAATGAGGATGTGGATGTGCCTTTGATTTTGGGTAGACCATGGAGTTGCTAAAGGTCGCCCTTAAAATTGCTAAAGGTCGCCCTAAAAAGAATAAAAGTTACACTTTTAACCCCCATAGCTTCTTTACCTTCCCTTCCTCAAACAAACATCACTTGGACTAAAAAAACACTCTCTAAGGAGAGAAAAATCTCTCATCGTCATTTTGAAGCCGATATCGTCGATAGGACGTCTGAATCATGAGTAGCGACTCCGACGAGGTAAGAACATGAACCAAAAAAAAAAAAAACACAGAAAATGGGAACCGCGGGTGATTTGCGGTCCGACCATGGTCCAACCGCAAGTGACCTGCGGTTGGACCATGGCCGGACCGCAAATCACCTGCGGTTGAGCCATTGGTGGACCGCACTTGACCTGCGGTTGGACCATGGCTGGACCGCAAATCACCTGCGGTTCAGCCATAGTCCAACCGCAGGTCAATTGCGGTCCACCAATGGCTCAACCGCAGGTGATTTGCGGTCTGACCATGGTCAAACCGCAGGTCACTTGCGGTTGGCCATTTTTTGGTTTTTTTTTTCGTTGAATAATTTTTTATTTTTTATATGATTTATGATTGTTCCATGAAATAATTTGTTGGGTTTTGATTTATATAATTTATTAGATTTATTTGCATAATTATTTTTGGAATTGAAGGATTTAGCATTAGAAATTAAGATTAGATTTTTGGAATTGAAGGATTTAGCATTAGAAATTAAGATTAGATTTGGCATTAAATTAAGATTAGATTTAATTTGGTGTTAATCTAGAAAATTAAGATTAGATTTTGCATTACAAATTAAGATTAATATAATTTATTAGATTTATTGGGTTTTGATTAGATTTTTGGAATTGAAGGATTTAGCATTAGAAATTAAGATTAGATTTGGCCTTAAATTAAGATTAGATTTAATTTGGTGTTAATCTAGAAAATTAAGATTAGATTTTGCATTACAAATTAAGATTAAATTTATTGCATAAATAATAGATTCGCATATGAAGTTATGATGATTATTAATTTTAATACTGATAACATTGCAGGATATTGGAAGTTACAATCCGGATGACCATGATTACACCTCGGATTTCATTGATGGCGTGAAATACACTACGGAGTTGCAAGCATATGAAGCAGCCATTGAGATTGCAAAGGGTTTTGGGTTTTATTTGGTGAGGGCATCGAACAAAAAAAATACGAATGAAGGTACTTGGCGACATTACTTACATTGCACTCATGGTAGGAAGAAGAAGTCGAAGGAACCTGATCCGAGTAAGGAAACGAGGCCTCTTACATCTACTGAAAAGTTGGGGTGCGAGTTTAAGATCAAGCTTGAGCGGTCAGGTGATGGATATTGGTTGATCCTAGGGGTGGCAAATACAAAGAATCCTGGTGCTAATTTGGGTTTCCACAATCATCAGTTGGAGCTATTTCCGGAGGGATCAAAGGGAAGGAATGTTTTGACTACAGAGGACAAGCAATACATCAGAGAGCTGAGATCAGCCGGTGTCCCACCAAGGAATATCCACAAGGCAGTGAATGACAGAAAAGGTGCAAATGGAACACACAACAGAAAGCAGATTTATAACGAGTGTCACAAGATAAGGAAAGAAGAGCTTGGTCAGATGACAGCCTTACAGTATACTTTCCACATGGCGCAGGAGAAGGGTTACTATGTGCAGTATATGGACGATCGTAACGTGCTTACACACTTGTTCCTAGCCCACCCCGAGTCAATATTGATGTTGCGAGCTTGGCACCATGTGATCGTGATAGATGCAACATACAAGACCAACAAGTATGATATGCCTTGGGTTGAGATTGTCGGCATGACACCAGTGGGATTGAACTTTGTCATTGCATCTGCAATAGTGTACGACGAGACGAAGGAGTCGTACCAGTGGCTTCTGACGCATTTGCAACATCTTCTTGGCCCCATTGTTCCAGATGTGTTTGTCAGTGACAAGGCAGGAGGATTGGTTGAGACCGTGGGGGTAATGTTTCCATCATCGACTCATATTTTATGTCTTTGGCATATGGATAGGAATGTGAGAGCAAAGTGTCTAACGGAGGTGCGAAGGACGACTCATTGTGGTATAGATGCAGCCAAACCGACAGTGGAGCAGATCATGGCGTCTTGGCAACGTGCTGTATATGCATTGACAGTGGAAGACATGGATACTGCCTTAGAGAATTTCAGACGTAGCTGGGGAGTACAGTACCGACGTCTTTGGGGGTATATGACAGCTGAGTGGTTACCAGTTAGACACATGTGGGCTAAATGTTATACCAATCAACTGCGGCATTTGGGTAACACAAGCTCTAATAGGGTTGAAGCTGCCCATTCCTCCTTCAAGAAGTGGCTTCAATCATCTACTGGCGCAGTCGACACGGTTAGTAATCTAATAAATCTTTATTGATACACACATAAGTTTTAGTAGTCTCCTAATTGTTCTTCATTGTTTGTAGGTATACAAGAAGAACGATGATTACATTGAGGCTCAACACCTTCAAATCAGGAAGCTGCTGGAGGATTCCCGACAAAAGAAGCTGCTCCGAGCGGATGGAAAACCATTTCGAGAGTTGAATACGAAAGTCACTCTAGAAGCTCTGAGGTTGATGTTGTTCGAGGTAGCAGTGGAAGGGGAACCTTGTACATGTACGTTTCTTCCTACCTATGGTCTCCCATGTAGATGTTCCATTCAGTTAGCACGACGTGAAAATCGGGATTTCGCCTTGTATGATGTGTTGCCATTCTGGACCGTTATCAACTATCGTGAACCTCCTACTCGGCCGGAGTGGGATGACCATAGTGATTACCACCGTGGTGTGTTCCAAGGTCTAGTACAGGAGGTTCTTGATAGAGGCGACGAGACCATTCGAGGTGCAATCGGCCTACTCCGGAGCCATCTTCATCCTGAAAATGATGGCATTGATGAACCGCATGGGGGACAGCCCCGCCCCGGTCGCCCAAGGACGTCCACCACTCGAAACCTGTCTCACTTCGAGCATGTGGAGAGGAGACGAGGGAGGAGAAGTTCAAGACTTCCGACTGCAACTCCGGACAATGATGGAAATACAGGTAGATTAACTTTTTCTTTTAGTTGTGTTCAATTGTCCTCAATATGGTGTACAACTAATCTATTTTTTTTAAATGAGATAGGTGGTGCCCCGAATGTGAATGCACAAACCAACTTCGAGGATGAGACGGAGCCGATCCATAATGATACAGGTTAGAAATTATATTCCTAATTTCGGGTAAACATATAGTGTAACTCTTTGTATTAATTTATCGTGTTATGCTCTTTGGCTAGATGGTGCACCGAATGGGAATGCACAAACCAACTTCGAGAATGGGACGGAGCCGGTGATCCATAATGATACAGGTTAGAAATTATATTCCTAATTTCGGGTAAACATATAGTGTAACTCTTTGTATTAATTTATCGTGTTATGCTCTTTGGCTAGATGGTGCCCCGTGGAGGGTTGCTCGGATTCCCAATACTAGTTGGAAGAATTACCCATGGCTACATTGTTTGGAATCCTACGTGCAACGACTAGTTCGTGGTTGGTTCAACCCTATTCCAGATGGACACTGTGGATTTCGAGCTATATCACAAGCAGCTACTGGGGACCAAAGGAATTGGCCACAAATGAGACGCGCTGTTCTAGAGGAGCTTGAATCCCGTCCTGAGCTTTATAGAGCCTACTATGATGGAATAGCAAATGGAATAGAAGATGGCATTCGACGTTGCAGGTGGGCATCAACAAGTGGCTGTGGACCTTTCAACTGGATGGATAATGCGGAACTCTTCGTCTTCGCCACCTTGCATTCATGGGCCATCGTTGTATACAGTCAAGGCGGTCGTTATACCGTGCTACCTGTGACGGCCCCACCAGGAGTAACAAGACCACGTGGGATCTTATCACTACATTTTACGGGGGATCATTGGGTGCGACTTGACTTTCGACATGGTCAAGTGCCCATGCCTCCAATTAACTACCTTTGGCCTATTTATCATGACCCTAGTGTCAATGGGTGGGATCAATTCTTCTTACATGAGCGTGCGCTTTATGATAGATTGAACCCACGGGGATGAATTGTATAACTCTCTATTGTATAACTCTCTATTTACGAATTGTATAACTCTCTATTGTTGAAACATTTAGTAATCTACCATGTTGATTAACTATTTTAGCAATGCATTGAATGTAACTAAAGTAAAAAAACACACAACCGTCTCAATTAAACTACAAACGATGACAAATAAAACACACAATAGTCATAGTTCAACTACAAACGATGACAAATAAAACACACAATAGTCATAGTTCAACTACAAACGATGACAAATAAAACACACAATAGTCATAGTTCAACTACAAACGATGACAAATAAAACACACAATAGTCTCAGTTCAACTACAAACGATGACAAATAAAAACACAATCGTCTACTGAGGCGGCTGCCCTACCAACTGGTCGTACAACTCGAAAACTCCAGCTGCCATATCATAGAGCTTACCACCGTCCTCCTCCCACTTACTCCGGTCCCTCGTCTGCAACAAGGGGCCTAAACGATCCACAATCTGCTCTCTCAACTGTAAATAGAAAACAATGTTAGAATAAATAACAAATGTCCTTTATATTTGGAAAAGCAAAAGAAAGTCATAACTAACCTGATGAACTAGTAGTGGTCGAGGCTGAGGCTCCTCATCAGTGGGGTGGGTGATCCGTGGGTGCGATCTAGTCAGAAACCAGTCAACGTACTCCTCCACGATCTCCGATGGCTGCTCGCACGGCCGAGAAGCAAAATCCAACTCTAGACGACGAGCTGCCACGTTATTCCACAACTGATTCACCCACGGATCCCAAAAGACTATGTAACTGCTGCCGGAAGCCGGACGGTACTGGTCATGTGGTACCGTCATAGCAGCGGGGATAATCTGTCGGTATCCAAACTGGCGCAGACAACGTGAAGGATCGTATCCCTCAGCAATGTCAGAAAAGCGAATGGGGCCAGTATACAAGGAGCGGGGTATATCTCTGTGGCCATCTCGTCCGTACGGAGTCCAGGTCACGTCATCAGCTGAAAGCTCATCCAACAACTGTCGATAACGTACTAACCTCTGTCTAGCCTCATCCCCACCTGGCAAACGGGGAGAAATCCACGAGGAAGCACGAGGTGCATCCGGAGACTGTGGCAGCTGGCTCGGACGGAAAAGAGGAAAGTACTCATATATCCAAGCCTGAAGCAGGGTCAAACAACCACAAAGACCCTTACTACCCGCTCGTGTGGCCACTCCCAACTGTCTGTAGAGATAGGCTAGTGCACCAGCTCCCCAAGCGTAATCAGCCAATCGTCGATGATCCTTCAGAAACAAGTTGATCGCAGGACGAAGGCGATCACGACTCTTATCCACAAAAAGCGTGGATCCCAGCAACACAAACAGGTAACACTGCACCTCCATCTCCTTAATCTTCAGCTCTCCCCCACGCACCAACAATCCCTCTGCATGCATAGCACCATTATCGTACCACTTCGACTTCCACTTACCACCAACCTGAGCATCCACCGAAAGTCGAACTAGACCACCCATGTCTGACTTAAGAGTATCCTGCGACGCCTCATCTCCCATCAGCTCTCCGTCAACCGGTATCCGAAGAATGTGATGCACATCGTGTAGAAGGATCGAAATCTCTCCAAACGGCATGTGGAAGGTGTTTGTGTCCGGCTGCCACCTCTCCACAAATGCCGACAGTAGAGCCATGTCTAAATGCTGCATCATGCACCCCGTCAAGTGAGACAATCCTGTGGCTTCAACCATCTCCTTGGAACCCGCTGCACTCCACTTATATCGCCTCAAAGTCTCTACAGCTCTCGGCCTATGGAAGCCGTCCAACACTCCACGGTCCTGCTCAGGGGAATTCCACAGTACCAAGCCAATGTGACCTCCAAAGCTAGGGATCACATCGGGAATCACTGGTCCACCTGAACACATCGGAGACTCGGCTGTAAGAAACCACGACATATCTTTCCTCGTGGTCTTCCTCTTCCTATTTCCATCTCCGCCATCCTCGCTACTAGGTCTGGACGCATAGCGTCCATCGGGCCCACGGAAGTGGGAGGAGGCAGTAGAAGATACCCCGACCCGTGCCGTCTTCCCCACGCCTAAATCAGCTTGAGGTGGGGCATCCCCAGCCTCAGCATCACCAGCACCATCAACAGCATCATCAACAGCAGCATCACCAGCAGCAGCACCAGCATCTGGGGCATTCCCAACCTCAGCATCACCGTCATCATCATCATCCTCGTCAATGGAATCACTCCAATTAGCCTGCCATACCGGTGCGGTATCTGGTGTAGGAGTACTGGTAGTGCCTCGACTAAGAGACAACTGCCCCACAGTAGGGTGGCCGTCAGGACGCACTACATCCGCCTTCTTCTTCCTTCTAACCTTAGGTGGATTTTTTTCTTCATTTTCCTTCCTACCAGTCGCCGTAAGTCTACAAGCACGACCCTCCATTCTCTCCTTATTTCTCGCCTTAATCATATCCGGTTTACCCATTCCATGTCCAGACATCTTCAAAAAAAAGTTTGAATTATTAATAATGGAGTACATAAAGTAATTAATTTAAGATTTTCATAATTAAAATTATAAAACTAATAGTTTTAACATTTATGTTACGTTCTATGTAATAATTATTTACTTTTTAATCAAGGTAAAATTAATAATAATTAAGTAGATAAACGAATTACTTTGAAATTTTGATTATTAAAATGATAAAAACACATTTTTAATTTTTTTATAATGTTCTTTAAATTTGTTATCTTTAATTAACAATTATCAAATACGATTTTAAATTTTTTAATATCATATAACTAAATTATAACTAAATTAATATTATAACTAAATTAACATTTATAGAATACGTTATTATTAATTATCATTATAACTAAATTAGTATTTATCAATAATATAACTAAATTTTTTTATTATGTATATTTTTTAATTTTTTTTATTATTATTAACATTTATTTAACGAATAATAAAACACAGAATTTTAAAAACAGAATTTTAAAAAAAAAAAAGCCCCGAACCGCGGTCAACGCGCGGTATGACCGGCGGTCAACCGCGGTCAACGCGCGGTCTGATCGGCGGTCAACCGCGGTCAACGCGCGGTCCGACCAGCGGCTGACCGCGGTCAAAGGACAGTTGACCATTGGTCAAAACGCGCTTTGACCGCGGTCAGCCGCTGGTCGGACCGCGCGTTGACCGCGGTTGACCGCCGGTCAGAACGCGCGTTGACCGCGGTTCGGGGCTTTTTTTTTTTTTTTCCTTACCTTCTTCTCCGGCGAGGCAGGGTTGGCGGCGACGGGCTGGCGTCGAAGCGCGGCCGGCGAGGCTGGCACTGGCAAGGGAGGCGGCGAGGCTGGCGGGGGCGCGGCCTTCTTCTCCGGCAACGACGGGAGCAGGGGCGGCGGCGAGGCTGGCGGGGGGCGGCGGCGCGGCTGGCGGGGGGCGGCGGCGCGGCCGGCAACGGGAGCAGGACCGGCCGGCGGCGGGAGGTGGGGGAAGGGAGTTGCAGAGAGGGGGAGGGGAGGGGTCGCGTGGGAAGAGGGGGAAGGGGAAGGGGAAGGGCTGTTTGGTTGGTTTGATTTTCTAATTTTCATTAAGGGTATTTAGGTAATTTGATTTTTAAGTTAGGGCGATGTTTAGCAATTCTTAGGGCGACATTTAGCGATTCAGTTTCTCGCCACCGCCAAGGCGCTTATTGATGTGCATAGTGGTAAATTGATCTTGCGTGCTGGTGATGAACAGGCTACTTTTTCTGTGTCTGACAATGGGAAACATTCTCATTTGCATGATGACATAGACTACTGTGATGTGCTTACCGATTTTGAGACCGCACTCGCCATCACGAGTGCGGGTACTGATGATGCTCTTGAGCGTTGTATTTTGCTAGGTGAGCAGGCATTGCAGGAGTCGCAGCTGGCGGAGCAGTTGGCCGCATTGGAGAGTGGCCCCTTCTTGGAGGGCGACAGGCTGTTTAAACCGATCTCATCCTCCACCCGCATCACCACTTCCTTGGAGGAACCACCAGAGCTGGAGCTTAAGCCCCTCCCTCCTCATTTGGAGTATGCATTTCTCCGGGAGGGGAATAAGCTGCCAGTAATCATCAGCTCGACCCTCACACCCGAGCAGAAGACCAGACTGGTGGCCTTGCTGAAGCAGTACGAGCGAGCTTTGGCATGGAAGATCACATATATCCGGGGAATCAGCCCCTCCTTTTGCTCACACCGGATACTGCTGGAGGATGAGATGCGGCCAGTGAGGCAGCCGCAGAGGAGACTGACGCCGAACCTGGAGGCGGTGGTTCGGGCAGAGATCGTGAAGCTGATGGACGCGGGGATCATCTTCGCCATTTCTGACAGCGAGTGGGTCGGTCCCACCCAGGTGGTGCCCAAAAAGGGTGGGATGACCGTGGTGCCTAACGAGAAGAACGAGCTCATCCCGATGCGCACGGTGACTGGGTACCGTGTTTGCATCGACTATAGGCGTCTCAACGACGCTACTCGGAAGGACCATTTCCCGCTGCCGTTCATTGATCAGATGCTGGAGAGATTGGCGGGGCACGAGCTCTACTGCTTCTTGGATGGGATGTCCGGGTACTTTCAGATCCCTATTGCACCGGAAGACCAGGCGAAGACCACTTTTACCTGCCCCTTCGGCACATTTGCTTACCGGAGGATTCCATTCGGGCTATGCAACGCCCCAGCCACCTTTCAGCGATGCATACTCGCCATCTTTGACCGTCTGGTCGGCGAGATCATGGAGGTGTTTATGGACGACTTCTCGGTTTATGGAGACTCTTTCTCTCACTGTCTCCATAACCTGGAACTTGTTCTTAAACGGTGTGAAGAAACGAACCTGGCACTGAGTTGGGAGAAGTGTCACTTCATGGATCGAGAAGGCATAGTTCTTGGGCATAAGATCTCCAAGATGGGGATTGAGGTGGACAGAGCGAAGATCGAGACTATCAGCAAGCTGCCTCCTCCTACATCTGTCAAGGGGATCCGGAGTTTTCTTGGCCATGCAGGTTTCTACA